ATGAGTCTCCATTTGCCTTTTTCCCCTTGTTCGGTTGAGCTGTCAAGTAGGGAAAAAACAGTTGTCATTGATTGTACCCCCTTGGCCCTCCAGCACAGGATGCTATGGGAGAGAATGCCTGGGCCCAATAGCCTGATATTGAGTGGGTGAGGGGGACCTGAAGTTAGGCAGGAATTAGTGAGGTGAAGATATTCAGGAAGCAAGTTCCCAGAAGGGAGGTAGCATTTGCAAAGGTCCTGAGGCAGAAAAGGATTTGGCAGGTTTAAGAAGCTCATTTAGCGGTTGGAGGGAGAAACAGGAGGAATGGCTAGAACTGGAAAGGTGAGGTACTTAGAGCCAAGTTAAAAACTTTACCTTGAGGGCACTGAGAAGCCATGGAAAAGCTTTAATGACATTCCCGTCTCTTGCAACCCATTCATTATTTACTTGGAGAGGTTCTCTTACCTTTGGGCGCAGAGGTGCTGTGTAGACAAGGATAGTATCCTTTCAGACTCAAACACATGGGCAGCTTAGCAGAAACCATGCTTAGGAGCAGGGAGTGGAAAGCGTATGAACTTGAGAATCCTGAGTCTGTATGATTTGAACAAATCTCTTAACCTCTCCAAGCCAGTTTGCTTTTATGTGCAATTGATGATTAGCATTTTTCATTTATTTATTTATTATTTGAGAGAGAGCACACAAGCAGGGGCAGAGAGAGAGGGAAAAGCAGACTCCCCTGCTGAGCTGGGATCATGACCTGAGCCAAAGCAGACATTTAACCAACTGAGCTACCCAGGCGCCCCGATAATGTAGCATTTAAACCCCTCACCTGGGTGTTATAGGATCATAAATAACAAGTACAGTGACTGTGACTGGTGCTCCATGGGTGGTAGCTGTCACTGTTCTGTTTTGTTTTTAAGATTTTTTTTATTATCTGACAGAGATCACTAGTAGGTAAAGAGGCAGGCGGAGGGGGGAAGGAAGCTCTGCTGAGCAGAGAGCCAGATGCGGGGCTCCATTCCAGGACCCTGAGACCATGACCTGAGCAGAAGGCAGAGGCTCAACCCACTGAGCCACCCAGGCGCCCCTAGCTGTCACTGTTTTAACAGTGCTCTCTTGCTAACACGAATTTGAAACTCTTCTTTGGTAATAGAATCACAGAATCATATACTGCCAAATTGTGAGGAAAACTCAAAGATCTGTCTGTGTATGATGCTTGCATCCCTTCGGCAACACTAGTGATCGGTTGGTTTGTTCTCCAGTGTTATTTATGACATCCAGAGATAGGAAGCTCCTACTATCTGAAGCAGCCACTCCGTGTTTGGGCTCTGTAAAAACGTTCTTTCCTTGGACAGAATCCCAATCTGCTTCTCTGTGACCTCTCTCCAGGGGTCTCAGTAGTGCCCTAAGGCCTCATCCATGTGACAGCCCTCAGGTGTTTGGGGTCATTATTTCACCACCACTCATCTTGTTGGAAAGCTTATTTCTTCAGCTTCATAACAATAAAAGTGTCAATTCATCAAAAACTACCAACAGTCTGAAAACAAATGTACCTAACAATAGAGCCTAAAAACCTGAAGTAAAAAGTGTAAGGGATGGATTTCATTAATAATAAAAATAGGGGCACCCAGCTGGCTCAGTCAGTGGAGCAAGTGACTCGATCTCAGGGTTGTGAGTTCGAGCCCCATGTTGGGCATACGAATTACCTAAAAAGTCTATTTTTTTAAAAGATTTTATTTATTTAACAGAGATCATAAGTAGGCAGAAAGGCAGAGAGAGAGGGGGAAGCAGGCTCCATGCTGAGCAGAGAGCCTGATGCGGGGCTCGATCCCAGGACCCTGGGACCATGACCTGAGCCGAAGGCAGAGGCTTTAACCCACTGAGCCACCCAGGTGCCCCAAAAATAAAAGTCTTTTAAAAATAATAACTATCATACTGAGCACCCCCACTGTACTTGGTGCTATAGGTACACAGATAAGAATCAGTCATGTTGGTTGAAGAAAGCCCGACAAGTAATTAAGTGTAACACAACTATACAGATACTGTGACAGGTCTGTGCAGGAAAAAGTAGGGGGTATTTGAGGGGCACCAAGGGAACAATCATCTTTATGAAAGAGGGATCTGCTGTTCAGAACAGCCACTGTCAGTAACTACAAGTGCATTCCTACAAGAAGTGTTCATTTTCCCTGTTAGCAATCTTTACAAAGCCTCTTTTAGAGACAGAATAATAGAAGCCAGTCAAGGAAGAGTGGAATACTATGATTTGCTGTACTTGCAACTGGATGGCCAATATTTGGAAAGGAGGCACCTCAACTAGCCTTTCCTAAGCACTGAAAGAGAAGAGAGAAGGCATACTGTGTTTGTCATGGCCATGCAATGCAGGAAGGCCCCAGAAGACAGGAGCAGTAAAGCACTTGCCCCACTGACTCAGTGCAAGTTGTGTGAAGGCAACATGGTGCTCACACTCCGACACCTGTTTATGTGGGGTCCTGTGCTGGATGCTCTGGTAAAGATGACCTCTCTACGGGGCTGAGGTATGTGTCCAAGGTGACCCAACACAGAAAGAGCTGCAGAGCCTCAGCGAAAGATTATTTGATATGCCCCAGAAATTCTAAGGATAGTTCTGTGGGCCAATGAAGCTAACCTTTCTAAAGGACAGTAAATACAGTGTCTATGAATAACTACAATGAAGTCCTCCCAACCTCCTGAAGTAAGAGCTTCTCCATGAGAGCCATAGAGAGCAAAAAACAGTGAACCTCAAGCTGCCTTCTGGAAGAAGAAATGAACGAGAGAAGCAGAAACACAAAAGTAAAATATTGGTGGAGACTGAGACTAATGTTTTTCAAGTTTGTTAAAGAAGCCCATCAAGAAACAGGTATAAAACTAAGGATCTTGAAATAGTTCCCAAAACGAGAAACAGATAATGAGAAAATATAGACAAATTTGTTTCATGGTATGCAGGCTTCTACCTTTAGAGGTCAACAAGGAGGATAAAACAAGTGTTATAAGAAGAAAGTATGGATGGAGACAACTGAGAAAACAGGAATGTTGAGTGGAAATTCATAGACACCATTCCTATCCCATTGCCCAGGGAGGGAACCGAAGTCCAGAGAGGCTCTTGAACTCCTGAGACACAGACAGGACCCCTTCGCCCAGCAGGACACAGGACTGCAGCTGAAGGCTAAGCTCAGCACCCATGCCCCCTTGAGCTGTTTCTGGGCTGATATGACAAAACAAAGGAATTTACCCCAGAAAATTCTTCATTTCACCACCTAATACTTCATCAAGGGATTGTTTTCTCTGCTGGGGCACTGACACACAGTAATTAGTTCTCTTCCCTGACCCTCATTTCCTGAGCTGCCTTTTTAAAAAAATAAGTTATCTTTGGCCATTATTATTATTATTGAGGAATTATTCACATATAAAATTCACCCTTCTAAGATACACAATTCATTAATTTTTAGTATATTCATGAGGTTGTCCAACTATCATCACTCATTCCAGACCATTCTCATCTCCCCACAAAGAGATCTATCTAATACCCCCTCAGCAGATATGCCCAGTTGCCCCTCCTCCACACTCCTAGGAATGACTAATCCACTTTTCTGTCTTTATGGATTTCCCTTTTCTGGACATTTCATATAAATGGAATCCTACAGTATATGGTGTTGTATGTCTGGCTTCTTTCATTTAGCATGTTTTTATGGCTCATTCAGGTTGTAGTGTGCATCAGTACTCCATTCCTTTTTATGGCTGAGTCCTGTTCTAGCACAGATAAGCCACGTTGCTCATCTGTTTATCAGCTGATGGACTTTCAGCTGTTGTGAATAGCAGTACTATGAACATTCATGTGCAAGTTTTCATGTGGACATATGCTTTCATTTCTCTTCAGTATATACCCAGGATTGCAATTGCTGGATCATACAGCAACTCTTTTTAACCTTTTGAGGAATTACCAGGATGTTTTTCAAAGGGCTGCACTATTTTACATTCTCATCAGTAGCATATGAGGAATCCAATTTTGACACATCCTAATACTTGTTATTACTCATCTTTTTTATTATAGCCATTCTAATACTTCTAAAATGGTATCTCATTGTGATCCTGATTTTCCTTTTCCCTAAATGACTAATGATGTTGAGCACCTTTTCACGTGCTTGTTGGCCATGTGTATATCTTCTTTAGAAAAATGTCTATTCAAATTCTTTGCCTGTTTTTAAATTGGGTTGTCTTTGTTGACGTGTAAGAGTCCTTTATATATTCTTATTACTAGATCCTTATCAGATACTATGTTTGCAAATATTTTCTTCCTTTCTCTGTGTGTTTTCTTGAAGTGTCCTTTGAAACACTCTCGGGCTACTTGTAACAAATATTAAAACCTTGAAACTAAATTAGGAATATGTAATTGTGTTGTGTCTGAGTTATATATTTAAATTTAACATGCTTTGTAATTTCACAAGAAAACCATTGTATCCAGACCACACTTTGAGGCTACCAAAGAGTCTTTTGAGTTCATTATGGGATCCATCTTAATGATAGATATCGCTTTTATAGCAGCTATGTGCCAAGCACTGGGCCCTTTATGCCTACTAGCTTCATTCCCACAACAATCCTATGAGGTAGAGATTAATCATCATACTCATTGTGCAAACAAAATGGATGCAGAGGAAATTTGCCTGAAGCCAGAGAGTAAGTGGCAGAGATACGCTCCAGATTCTGACGCTTTTAACCTCCTGAGACGGTCAAGGCGGAGTTAAGCCATTTCAAAGAAGGCTGACCCTTAGCTTTGAGGAAATTACAGTGTTTTCATGAAGTCCGCCCTCTGGACAGTTTTCCCCTTTGTTCGAAGACAGAAACTAGTGCCCTCCCCTGCCCACGCCCCCCCCCCCCCCCCCCCGGCGTCTTCACTGCTCTCTTCCTTTCCCGTTTGGCCACAAGTCCCTCTGTCACCTCCACGGGTCCCAGGCTTTTGCTTTTGGAAGTAACTGCGAAATCGCCGGCGTCTCCCAGGTGGAATTGGTCTAAATTTCTGACGGCCAATAGGCGGCGAGGAGCTACTGTTTCAGCCCAATGAGGCTCCCAGCGGAGCCATGGGCGGGGCCGGCAGGGGGGCGGGACCGAAGCCCCCAGCCCTGGTGCCTACTGTGTGAGGCGCAGGCTGCGCTGAGCGGAGCCATGAGCTGGACCTGCCCGCGTTGCCAGCAACCCGTTTTCTTCGGTGAGGCCCGGGCTGAGGAGGGGGAGATGATGGGGCGAGTGTGAGCCGGGGCGTTGGAGGAGTTTACGACAGTGTGGCCTCAGACCCTCTTTCCACCTCTGGGGCGCAGGGCACTCGGGCGGGTTCGAGCTGAACTTCCCGGGACACTCCCCACAGTCTCTAGAAAGCAGGCGGGCGGGGCTAAGGAGGGAAAAGGGGGCCCACCGCTGCGTGGCCTATCTCCCCACTGCCCGGTTCCACCTTGTCCCCCACAGCGGAGAAGGTGAGCTCCCTGGGCAAGAACTGGCACCGCTTCTGCCTGAAATGTGAGCGCTGCCACAGCGTCCTGTCCCCAGGAGGGCATGCAGAGGTGAGGCCTGGCCAGGGCTATCTGTCACTGTCCCCTAAGCACCAGCCCCCAGTTTCGACTCAGGAGGCTCACTAAAGGCAACCTCAGCAAATACCAAGACCACCTACTCGGAGGGCCCCGCACCAGCCAGGATTTGGGATACCTGAGTTGTGCCGGTGGACCCCATTCCTTTTGGTGGGGAGGGGAGGGAAGCCACGGTTTTCTGACCTGCTCTTGCTCATTCTCCTGACCACAGTGGCAATTCTGACATGCTCACCCTACACCTCTCCCGGCCCCACAAGCCCAGGCCAATGGACAGACACACCTGGCAGTCTGTCCTGAGAGAAGGCCTGTGGGACACAGGAGACCCCCCCCCACCCTACCCCAGGCCTTTAGTCCTGAGCAGCCCTCTTTCCTCTGCTTGTGCCTAGCACAACGGGAGGCCATATTGCCACAAGCCATGCTATGGGGCTCTCTTCGGACCCAGGGGTAAGTACCAGCCTAGAAGAGGCCAGGGGACAGCAGGACCCTCTTTGTGGCCGGGAACTGGAGGTTCAAGCCTGACAGCCACTATTTTCTCTGCAGGGGTGAACATTGGTGGTGTGGGCTCCTACCTCTACAACCCTCCCACTCCCACCCCAGCCAGCACCACTCCCCTCAGCCCCAGCAGTTTCAGCCCCCCCAGGCCCAGGACTGGCCTCCCCCAGGGCAAGAAAAGTAAGTGAAGTTGGGCCTCAGCTACTCCTCATCCCCAGGCTGGAACAGGTCTCCCACTTAGTCCTCTGCTTCACATTCCTATAACTTCGTTTGTGGCAAAGTCTTCTCTTACTCGTGGCCCTTTTTTGGGGGGTTCTCTGATGTCAGCTGCTGAGTTAAGAGGTAAATTGGGTAGATGGCATTATCACCTGCATTTTACAGGTGAGGAAACCAAGGTTTGGAGAGAGCAAGTGGCATTATGCAGTCACACAGCGAGTCAGGCAAAGCTGGCCTGGAATTCAGGCCTCTCCCAAGCCAAGGCCATGGAAGGAATGACCTAGGAGCGAGAGGTCATTGAGACAGGGTCAGCCCCTCTTATTCTTCCACTTCTCTCCTCTCCCTGTACCTTCCTCCCATTCCCTAGAGTGGGCAATGACGCCGTGCTCCCCAACACCTGACACCCATGCCCTGGCCTGCTCCTGTATCAGCTCAGGTTTCCTGAGGATAGAGTTGCTGACCAGGGTTGAGCTAGTGGGCACCTGAACCCCTGCGAGGAGAAGGAAGCAGGGGGCCCCTTCTGCAGAAAGGTTGGGGACAGGAGGTGGGGGTCATAGGAGACTCAGCTCTGCCGAAGAAAGCAGATCTATGGCGAGCTGGGTGGAGTGCTCCGGGATGAGCACGGCTTTTGAAGAAGCCATGTGCAGGCTGGTGCTGATGGGCCCTGCTTAGGCCTGGCCCCCACCTCAGCCCTAGCCAGGGCCTCTTCCCCTTAAAGGCCCTCCCCACATGAAGACATTCACTGGGGAGACTTCACTGTGCCCTGGCTGCGAGGAACCTGTCTATTTTGGTAAGTGACAATGGGAAGCTTGGGGAGGAGGGAAGAGGATGGGCATCAAAGAGTAGGGAGGTGGTGCAAAGCAGGTAGGTCTCATTGCCCTGCCCTAGAATTACCAGTTCTCTCCACCACCAGCTGAGAAGGTGATGTCTTTGGGTAGAAACTGGCACCGACCCTGTCTGAGGTGCCAGCGCTGCCGGAAGACCCTGACTGCTGGGAGTCATGCTGAGGTGAACGGGGCAGGGATGGGTACTTATGTCGGGAGGAGGTAGGCTGGAGATGGGAAGAGAGCCAAGCTGAGATGGCTCTCTTTTCTCTCTATGTCCCAGCATGACGGCGTCCCCTACTGCCACATCCCCTGCTACGGCTACCTGTTTGGCCCCAAAGGTGGGCAGCCCCACCCCAGACAGCGGGCCTATATGGCATGTGGGGATGTGTGGACAACTTCCCCTGTGGTCAAACACACCCAGGCCCCTCCCGATTCCCTTCATCCCTCAGCCCAACAACCCCCACCCCCAAGGCCCTTGGTGACGGGGCTCTCTCCCTCAGGTGTGAACATTGGTGATGTGGGCTGCTACATCTATGACCCCGTGGAGATAAAATCCAAATGAGACACTCACAGGAGAGGTCACTCTAACTCAGGCCTCATACCATCCCCTCCATGGTTGAGTGGGAGCTACAGAATTCTCCAGTCCCATGGGGCGGCGGGGGCGGTGGGGAGGGGGGCGGAGATGGTCTTCCAGTGGCCTGGGCCTAGGCTCCATGGTAGACCGGGGAGCCTAGACCTTGCTGATTCCTCACTTCGTTCCTGTCTGGCCAGGAGGACATAGACCACCACATTTTAAAGGGTGTCCTCCCGTTCTTCCCAGTCCCTTTTCCTAGCAAATTCTGTAATTTCAAGGTACTTAAGAAACGTGTTTATTCTGGCTTCTCCAATAAAATGTTGGCTCCCATGCCTTCAACTCTTCTTTGGACATGAGGCCTAAACAATGGGGTGGAAGATGGGAGGCGTGGGGTGGGGGATGCATCACCCTGCAAAGTGCCTGGGAGGTATAGGGCCAATCATGGGAACAAAGAGCTCTGTTCTCCTGGTTACCCTCGACCCGGGAAGCTCCCAGTACCACACAGTGGACAGCATGCCCACAAGCCTGTTGGCGCTAGAAGTCATCATAGGGCAGTCCCTTCTTTAGCACCATCTCTAGAGGAAGCACGTTATTCGGCATCTCGTTTGAGCCTGACAAAAGATAGATCCTGTGGTGAGGTCTACTAAGAGCCTTCATTATCCATTCGAGAGATGAACAGACTGCAGCCTTGGGAGGGAAAGCCACATGCCGAAGGTCACACAGCAAATCAGTGGCAAAGTTGGGATCAGATCGCAGGGGCAGACTGGCTTCCCATCCAGGGCTCATCCATGCTGCCCCAAACCCTTGGGGCACCTTCATTTCTAGAACTCCCCCCAGCCATGACAAGGGTACCAGAATTATTCAGCAGCCGACTGCATTCTAGGAAGTCACCCAGCTGCTGGAGGCCAAATAGTCGAGGCTGAATGAGCACAGAGAGGGGGCACTGTTGGCCACCCCAGCCCTGGGGATGGGGCTTGATGCCTCCAGCCCCAGCCACAGGGCCTGCCCTTCTGGTCTTCCAGCCCCTGCTGCAGAACTTCTGTGGAGAGCCTGTCCCGATACCACTCAGTCCTGGACCCGCTTCATGGGCATCTCTTCCTCCTGAAGGCTGGATGGGGCACTGGGGAGGAAGGAGTCATGAGCAGTGGTGGGGTTTAGCCCCTGGGCCTCCCATCAGGGCTGGCCTACACCTCCCCCCATCTGCTGGTATACAAACATGGGTACTCCCGCAGGTGACTCCCACACATGCTTGCACACATCCCTGATGCACAGGCATACCTGAGTGTGCACACATCCACCTCTTCCTGGACAATCTTGGATATCCATGTACACACACATATGGACTCGTGTACTTTTACATACCTCAAGTCATAGGCCCATGCACACTTGCATAGAAGCACCAGATACACAACATGCAGACACGTCCTCTCTGCATCCTACCTAAGGCGTCAGGTGCTTGAGCACTCATTCCCACATGCATGTGCTCACACAAACAGTCGTTCTGTGCACACCTCCTCTCCACGTCCTGGATGGTCTCTGGCAGCTGTGCTTGCCTCGTCTCTGGTAGCAGGAGGGCAGTGCAGGCAGCCAGCAGGGCGATTCCCCCATAAGCGAGCTTGGGCAGTGACAGCCATACTCCATCCAGCAAAGCTGCCAGTGGGGCCAGAGAGCCCCCCAGCCGGCCCACCAGTGAAGTCAGCCCCATCCCTGTCTGTCTGTTCAGAGAGAGGATGGGGGAATGGGTGGGTGTTCACATCTACTTAGGGTCATGCCTCAGAGGGCTCCCATCCTGGGCTGGCATGTCCTGAGCCCCCTTCTCCCTAGATGGCTAAGAAATCTGAGGCTTCTTCCAGGTGGTCTTCCCATCTGTCCCCAGGCCAGGGACCCCAAGCCAGTATGCACCAGAGGATGGGACCCCCATTCTGACAGAATCAATCAGGTACTGCTGAAGGAAAAGAAAAGTCATCAGAAAGGGGGTAGGGAAAGCGTAGTGTGGAAGGAAGAAGGTCCCAGCTCCTAGAGACCCTGCCATGTTGGTAGAGGAGGAACAAGGCTTTCTAAATTTACCCAGTCCCTACCTGCCAATAGCTAGTTGAAAGGATACCAAGGAGTGCCTGGGTGGCTAAATTGGTTGGTCATGGCCACTCTGGATTTTGGTTCAGGTCATGATCTGGGGGTTGAGGGATGAAGCCCCACCTCAGCTCTGTGGGAGTCTGCTTGAGATTCTCTCCCTTTCCCTCTCCCTGTCTGCCCCTCTCCCCACTTCATGTTCTCTCTCTCTCTCTCTCATCTCTCTCTCAAATGAATACAGTCTTTAAAAAGGTAAAAAAAAAAAAAAAGGGGGGGGTGCAGGCCTTAAGTCCAGAGACAACCCCCTAAGCAGCACTGCCTGGGGCTGTAGTGAATGGGAAGGGAAGGGCAGATAGTGCTTTTTGTGACTTTTCTTTTAAAGAGGCCTAGAGAAGTGTGACCTCGCTCAGCGTCACTTAGTAACAATAAAATGCTCTGCCTTCTACCAGATTTAAGCAAGCACAGACAGCTCTGATTAGCTCTTGTATTCTGGGTTCCGTGTAAGGAACGGGTAAGAGGAACTGGGCTGCAGTGTGTGTGGTGTTGGTAAAAAGATGTGACTACAAGCCCTCCCCCAGGTGGGTTGCCTGGAACCCAGGCTCCCCTCACCTGAGCACAGTAGGGTACAACTCCGACGTGAACAGGTAGGCAGTGGTGAAGGCAGCTTCAGAAAAACCTTTCCCTATCACAGCCAGGGCGATGCTCCATGTGCCCATCTCTGCAGGAAAAGGGGTTCGGGTAGTGAGCGGGCCTTGCGGGAGACCCAGTGTTCCCGCGATGGGAGGTTCCCGGAGCGCTGGACTTTGAGCAGGCGCTTCCGGGAAAGGGCGGGCCTTCTGGGGCAGGAGGCGGGGCCTCCGGGCAGTGGGTGGGGCTCACCAGAGGGCACCAGCAGACTGATACCCAAAGCAAGGGCCGTGCCCAGGAGCATTCCTGCTTGCGTGAGACGGCGTCCCATGTGGCGCACCAACAGGTAGACCAGCAGCTTGGAGGGCAGCTCAACAACCCCGAACAGCAGCTGCGTTTGGTACACGTTCAGCCCCAGCCCCGACACGTCCAGGCTCAGGCCATAATAGGAGAAATTCACTCCAAACCTGAAAGGGGTTAGGATGCCACTCAGGGTGCCACCCTCCTTTTCACGCCGACTCCTTGTCCTCTCTTTTTAGGGAACTTTGACTTTTTAGAAGGACCGCCTCCCCCACCTCCAGAGCCCACTGCCCACCACCTTCCCTGTCCCCATAACCCCTGGGAGTGTGCAGCAAGTGCCAATGGCCAAAGCGTCTTTACGTACTCTTCACAGCAAGCCTTGAGGTAGGAACTAACAGTGTCCTGTTTTGCAGAAGGGGCTCTGAGGCTCAGTGTTGTGACCTGTCCAAGGTCTCACAGCAAGGAAGTGGCAGAGCCTGCATCTGAGCCCCGCCTCTGATGACTGCTCCATCTTGTGACTTTCCAGAGCCCCCTGCCCCCAGGGGCTGGTCGTCCTGCTCTGCACAGTTACAGTTCACTTGTCCATCTTCCTCTCACACTCAGCACCATCCCGGAGTCTGCCGCCCCTCTGTCCACCGATGCCCACCCTGCCAGGCCCAGGCCAGGCCCCCTCCTTACCACATCACCATGCAGCACAGTGAGATGTGTCGGAGCCGTGGGGTCCGGAACAGGTCTAGGTAGGAGGGTCTTTGAACCACTCGCTCCCGAGTGGCCACTTTGTTCAGGGCCTGGTGGGAGAGAAGGAGAGTTTGTGACATCAGAGTTGGCTTAGGCACATGGCTTAGCTAGGCACATTGATCTTCCTGGGTCTCTACTCTTCCTTCTTCAGCAGCGGGGGTGGGGATGCACTTGCAAGCTGAATAGGGTGGGCCCTGAGTCAAGGATGTGGCCCACCGGAGCCAGGCAGGACATTTTGAAGAGTTTGGAACTGTCCACTGGAGGCCAGAAACTTTTCCTGCACATACACACTGGGCCCCAGGAAGGGGGCGCTTGACATAGGCCTCACACACACACACATGCACGTCCCTCTCATGCACGTGCGTGCACTCACACACACACATTCTCCCTCACCTCCCGGCTCAGGCCGTCTTCACCCACGAGCTGCCCATTGAGCCTGGCACAGCGGAGCAAGTACCTGTGGGCCTCCTCTACACGTCCCTGGGTCAGAAGCCAGCGTGCAGACTCGGGCACCCACCTGGGGGACAGACAGCAGGAGGCCCTTCAGGCAAAGTCAGCACCCACAGCCACATCTCCCTCCTGCACATACCACAGCCTGTCAACCTCCAGACTCTTGCCCATGCAGTCTCTCAACATGGCCCAAACCCTCCTCACCTGACGGACTTTAATTCATCCTTTAAGGCCCAACTTAAAAAGCCACCTTCTCCCACACTTCCTTGCGCAGGCCTGGATTCCACAGCCTAGGATTCCCTTCTCTCCAGCTGGGTTGGTTTCATTCCTGATACCACAACCCCCAGCATCAGCCACCCACTTCTCCCACCGGTGATAGGGTGAAGGAGAGACAGACACACAGAAATCCCCAAGGGGAATCAAAAGCCAGTTCATTTTGGGGAGGCAATGAAATGGCCACCCTGCCTGGCTTCCTACCCTCCTGCTTGGACTCCCTATCACTGTGCTGGCCCTATCTCTCCGTCCCTGTCTCTCTTGTCGCTCCTCCGACCATCTCTATCTGTCCCTCTGAATCTGCCTTTCAGGTCTGGCCTCTGACACTTTCTCTCACTGATTCTGTTTCTGTCTCTCCACAATCTCTCTATACGTTGTCCTGTGTTTCTCTGCTTCTCATGTCCAGTGCCATCTTTTTTGTACTGGTTGGTTTCTCTTTCTCTCTTTTTCCATTTCCCAGTCACTGACTTTCTCTTCATCTCTCAGTCATTCTGTATTCGAATCTCAGCCTCTGATTAGTTCTATCTTGGGGGGCGCCTGGGTGGCTCAGTTGGTTAAGCGACTGCCTTAGGCTCAGGTCATGATCCCAGAGTCCTGGGATCGAGT